CATTTCCTCCATGATACCTTAAGAACATGTGGACTTGTAACTTACAAGAATCATTTAACTGATTAAACGACTTTTCCCGATATAATGGGAGAAGAATAGCTGGGTGGCGGCTGTTAAGAATAGCTGGCTGGCGGCTGTTTTGTAATACAATTATTATCTGGTGTATGACCTATCGTAGTTTGGCGACTACGAATAAGTGTAGCCACATATACACTCCAGTTCTTGAATGTTGGGAGTCCTTCTCCAGACCTGCAAGTGTATCCAGGACCGCACTGGAGCCACACACTGCTCCAGAGTATCAAGGCTCGGACTCTCCCCGCTGACTGGTGATGTGGCTCGGACTCTTCCAGCTGACCGGTGATGTGGCTCGGACTCTTCCAGCTGACCGGTGATGTGGCTCGGACTCTTCCAGCTGACTGGTGATGTGGCTCGGACTCTTCCAGCTGACTGGTGATGTGGCTCGGACTCTCCCAGCTGACTGGTGATGTGGCTCGGACTCTCCCAGCTGACTGGTGATAATTCGTGGTCATTGATGCCACTCCGTCGTCCCTGACTCCCATATTCCACAATCTATACACATTTATATAATACAGTATTGTGCACAATAGCTTGGTGTCTTTTAATTCTAAACTCTTTACTGACTTTATTTTAATAAATCTATTCCTTAGTACAAAGAAGAGTACTTGTTCTTAGTTGTATTATATTTAGTTACTTTTATAATTACGCTGCCTTATAACATGACATTAAACGACAAAACTTAAACGATTTCTGGTTTTTCGTTTTAACTTAAATCGTATATATCCAACATAACCAAATTGTGCTGCAGTCAGGGAAAATTATATGTTTTAGAGGTTGCTTGTATTGTCCTCAATTCACATTGCCATTTCCCAAGCACCAGACGTCAACAAAGGCTAAGAAATACGGATCGTGGATCAAATTAGCGCATATAACTTTCTGGTGGTTACTTCTGCGTTGCAATCAATGATATCAAAATGTCTGTTAGTCGGTGTCTGTTATGTCTCCATAGATATATGCATATATTTCATACAATATACAATTGTTTTCTGAGCTCGGTAAACTTGACATAACTCCAGGTGACTTATAGCGTGGTCCACATGTCGCCCTCAAGTTCCCTGCTCCACCGTATGGGTCATCTTAGTTATGAAAACTCAGCATTTTACTCACAGACTCCTGACACAGGTCGCTAAATTCCAATCTCCGCCTTGCCTCTCGACCACAGCTGTCACCTTAAAGTCGGAGGAAATTCTACACTATTATCAAGCCAATCTCATTTTGATTGGAGATACCGCGCCCCGTTGATGGAATAGTATTCCTAAACCAAAAATAATCTCTTATCACTATTAAACCCCAAGAAGATACCCACTCGGGTTGAAATATAATATGTTCTATTGTATACTGGTGATTCTCCTCTGGGTTGTCGACAAGTCTTTCTTAAATATATACATCGATGTGTATATTCCACTGCGACAATTCCAGGAGCGATATAGACGAATATAGCGTGAAATTCCTCCCTAGATCTATATTGTTTTTAGTGTATTTTAATATTGCCTTTCAATTCTTATGTCATTTCTTTAACTGTTCACTATCACTGCAATTCACGGTATTTTGTTCGGGATTTTATCACACCAAATCACAAATTCATTAGTCATCAATTTTAAACAATCACAGTATCACAGTCACGAAAATACACAGTATCACAGTCACGAACATACACAGTAACCCTCGTAGCTCACTGTTGGATAACACACGTATACAGTATTAATAATTAATAGTAGTCGCGTAAAAAGGAATTATTCAAGAACACCTTAATAATACCACCAGTGAACCGCAAAGTTACTATGAATGGTTCACTGTAACACGGTAACTCACTGTCAGTAATTTATGTCCCAACGACCGAATGGTCAACCAAATTGTCGCCACCGACCTGTCTGTGTTAGACATAATTTAGGTCACTCCACGACCTCACAGTATTGGCACACGTCACTCCACGACCTCACAGTATTGGCTCACGTTACTCCACGACCTCACAGTATTGGCTCACGTCACTCCACGACCTCACAGTATTAGCTCACGTCACTCCACGACCTCACAGTATTAGCTCACGTCACTCCACGACCTCACAGTATTGGCTCACGTCACTCCACGACCTCAAGGTATTGGCTCACGTCACTCCACAACATCACAGTATTAGCTCACGTCACTCCACGACCTCACAGTATTGGCTCACGTCACTCCACAACCTCACAGTATTGGCTCACGTTACTCCACGACCTCACAGTATTGTCTCACGTTACTCCACGACCTCACAGTATTGGCTCACGTCACTCCACGAGCCTCACGTCACTCCACGAGCCTCACGTCACACCACGAGCCTCACGTCACACCACGAGCCTCACGTCACACCACGAGCCTCACGTCACACCACGAGCCTCACGTCACTCCACGAGCCTCACGTCACACCACGAGCCTCACGTCACTCCACGAGCCTCACGTCACTCCACGAGCCTCATGTCACACCACGAGCCTCACGTCACACCACGAGCCTCACGTCACTCCACGAGCCTCACGTCACACCACGAGCCTCACGTCACACCACGAGCCTCACGTCACACCACGAGCCTCACGTCACACCACGAGCCTCACGTCACTCCACGAGCCTCACGTCACACCACGAGCCTCACGTCACACCACGAGCCTCACGTCACACCACGAGCCTCACTGTACATGAACACGTTACACCACTCGTCTCACAGTACGTGAACACGTCACTCCACAAGCCTCATTGTACTTGATCACGTCACTCCATTAGCCTCACAGTACGTGATCTACTGTGGGTGTCAACTTCGTACAGGTGGTTTATATCTCTACTCTTTTAAAGTTAAAGAGGTGTTTTATCTATGCTATGCATACGTTTTATTTAAAGTTATGCTGATCTTTAAAGATATACAGGTGTTTTATTAAAGTTATGCTGATCTTTAAAGATATACAGGTGTTTTATTAAAGTTATGCTGATCTTTAAAGATATACAGGTGTTTTATTAAAGTTATGCTGATCTTTAAAGATATACAGGTGTTTTATTAAAGTTATGCTGGTCTTTAAAGATATACAGGTGTTTTATTAAATATATGCTGATCTTTAAAGATATACAGGTGTTTTATTAAAGTTATGCTGATCTTTAAAGATATTCAGGTGTTTTATTAAAGTTATGCTAATCTTTAAAGATATACAGGTGTTTTATTAAAGTTATGCTGGTCTTTAAAGATATACAGGTGTTTTATTAAATATATGCTGATCTTTAAAGATATACAGGTGTTTTATTAAAGTTATGCCGGTCTTTAAAGATATACAGGTGTTTTATTAAAGTTATGCCGGTCTTTAAAGATATACAGGTGTTTTATTAAAGTTATGCCGGTCTTTAAAGATATACAGGTGTTTTATTAAAGTTATGTTGGTCTTTAAAGATATACAGGTGTTTTATTAAAGTTATGCTGGTCTTTAAAGATATACAGGTGTTTTATTAAAGTTATGCCGGTCTTTAAAGATATACAGGTGTTTTATTAAAGTTATGCTGGTCTTTAAAGATATACAGGTGTTTTATTAAAGTTATGCTGGTCTTTAAAGATATACAGGTGTTTTATTAAAGTTATGCCGGTCTTTAAAGATATACAGGTGTTTTATTAAAGTTATGCTGGTCTTTAAAGATATACAGGTGTTTTATTAAAGTTATGCTGGTCTTTTATTGAGAGCGTATTAGTTATGAGAACATTTAAGTCTTTTGTTAAAGTTTCAAGATTTTGGCGATTTTAATTATTAACAGATAATTGAACTATGTTGTGTTCTATAGTGCAACTGTTGCACAGATGTTGTGTTCTATAGTGCAACTGTTGCACAGATGTTGTGTTCTATAGTGCAACTGTTGCACAGATGTTGTGTTCTATAGTGCAACTGTTGCACAGATGTTGTGTTCTATAGTGCAACTGTTGCACAGATGTTGTGTTCTATAGTGCAACTGTTGCACATATGTTGTGTTCTATAGTGCAACTGTTGCACAGATGTTGTGTTCTATAGTGCAACTGTTGCACATATGTTGTGTTCTATAGTGCAACTGTTGCACAGATGTTGTGTTCTATAGTGCAACTGTTGCACAGATGTTGTGTTCTATAGTGCAACTGTTGCACAGATGTTGTGTTCTATAGTGCAACTGTTGCACAGATGTTGTGTTTTATAGTGCAACTGTTGCACAGATGTTGTGTTCTATAGTGCAACTGTTGCACAGATGTTGTGTTTTTAATACCACCAATTTTCTCTCTCGTAACTCTGAGAAGGGATTACCAGGGATTATATTTTGAAGGAGGATTAAATATGTATATATATTATGGTGTTGTGATATACGATGTTATACAGCTGTTCTTTGGTGATTAATGTTATGTTGGTCATTCATTTTGAGTACTGTGATAAAGGCGGTTTATAGCGAGAGGTGTTTTACATATGTATATATGCAAGCGGGTGTTTTATGTGACTATATGTATACATATTTTAAGATGTATATATATGTGCATACTCGTAAGGTGTAACAATATCTGGATACTCTCATACAGATATTTTAAGGTGAGTGCAGGTGTCATACACTAGCTTTGCGACATTGGAGGAGTTATGAAAGTTTTATACGTATATTGATTGTTCTTAACAGGTGTTTGCATGATAGTGTTGTGTGAAGATTATATTTTATAACACGTGGGTGTTGTTGAAATGCACAGGTGTTTAGTTAACATATGTTTGTGGTTTATAAAAGTGTCAGAGTGATATTTAGCAATAAGTAGAGGAGTGATATAGGGGATTAAAGGATTGTAATCACTGCAGATAGACTGATAAGTCAGTCAGTGAGGGGCCGGAATCCACACCAACTCCTTGGTGACAGTGAGGTCTGGCTTAGTGTGCTGGGACGGTGGGTTAGCGGTGGGCAAGGTGGGTTGGAGAACATGGGTTGTATGCAGGTGGGTTAGAGAATGTGCGTTGGTGGCAGAGGATGGTAGGGGGGTTGGTGGTCAGGTTCTGGGTTGCAGGTGGGTCTATGTTCCTGGAGGGTCTCGGTCGGGTAGCCAGGTAGCTTGGTGGGTGGCAGTAGAGGATGGGAGGTGGGATGGTATTGAAGTATGGCAGGTAGAATGGTAGTGAAGAATGGTGGGCTGGTTGGTGGCTTGGCAGTGGAGGATGGTGGGCTGGTTGGTGGCTTGACAGTGGAGGATGGTGAGCTGGTTGGGCGCTTGGCAGTGGAGGATGGTGGGTGAGATGGTAGTGAAGAATTGTAGTGGCTGGTTGGTGGGATAGTAGTGGAGGATGGTGGGCTGGTTGGTGGGATGGTAGCAGGTGGATGCTTCGTAAAAGTGTAGCTGGCGTGATTGTAGAGGCTGCAGGCAGGTTAGTGGGGTAGACGCCCTTGACAAATCGCAAGTGAAGCTGAAGACATCACCAAACTAATCCAATATTGCTGGCAAGCTGAACCCGGGCCCTCACAAACTCACTAAGCCGGAAGACGTCCCTACCTTGGTTGCTAAGCCGGAAGACGTCCCTACCTTGGTTGCTAAGCCGGAAGACGTCCCTACCTTGGTTGCTAAGCCGGAAGACGTCCCTACCTTGGTTGCTAAGCCGGAAGACGTCCCTACCTTGGTTGCTAAGCCGGAAGACGTCCCTACCTTGGTTGCTAAGCCGGAAGACGTCCCTACCTTGGTTGCTAAGCCGGAAGACGTCCCTACCTTGGTTGCTAAGCCGGAAGATGTCCCTACCTTGGTTGCTAAGCCGGAAGACGTCCCTACCTTGGTTGCTAAGCCGGAAGATGTCCCTACCTTGGTTGCTAAGCCGGAAGATGTCCCTACCTTGGTTGCTAAACCGGAAGATGTCCCTACCTTGGTTGCTAAGCCGGAAGATGTCCCTACCTTGGTTGCTAAGCCGGAAGATGTCCCTACCTTGGTTGCTAAGCCGGAAGATGTCCCTACCTTGGTCGCTAAGCCGGAAGATGTCCCTACCTTGGTTGCTAAGTCGGAAGATGTCCCTACCTTGGTTGCTAAGCCGGAAGATGTCCCTACCTTGTTCGCTAAGCCGGAAGATGTCCCTACCTTGGTTGCTAAGCCGGAAGATGTCCCTACCTTGGTTGCTAAGCCGGAAGATGTCCCTACCTTGGTTGCTAAGCCGGAAGATGTTCCTACCTTGGTTGCTAAGCCGGAAGATGTTCCTACCTTGGTTGCTAAGCCGGAAGATGTTCCTACCTTGGTTGCTAAGCCGGAAGATGTTCCTACCTTGGTTGCTAAGCCGGAAGATGTCCCTACCTTGGTTGCTAAGCCGGAAGATGTTCCTACCTTGGTTGCTAAGCCGGAAGATGTTCCTACCTTGGTTGCTAAGCCGGAAGATGTCCCTACCTTGGTTGCTAAGCCGGAAGATGTCCCTACCTTGGTTGCTAAGCCGGAAGATGTTCCTACCTTGGTTGCTAAGCCGGAAGATGTTCCTACCTTGGTCACTAAACCAAGGTCACTTTAAACTACCAGTCCAGGCATTAGAATTAATAGAAAAGTGATCTCTATTCTTTAACTTAATGAAATATACCATAAAATTAATGGCTGCCTTTTATTGTCAATAAATGACAGAAATAGAACTACATATTTGAAGGCGCCGAGGTGGAGGCAGGTGGCGCGGGTAGAATGTAAACAAAGGCTTCCTGAGAAGGTTTAGCGACTCACGGCACTACAGACATCTCAAATATCGATCACCCAACAGTGATTCTGCCACAGCGACCTCGTCATCAATAACGGGAAGTGATAATTATCTGACTAAACCCCATTTTTATTAGATTTTTGACCAATTTACTCTTAGATAGGTTAGCCGGTTATATAGCATAACAACACCAAAATAGTGGTGAACTTGATTTTACTAATTACACAATCCTCATTATTATAAGTCACATTTTATTAACTATAATATTTTTATACAATAGTTACGGTGTAAATATTCGGCAGGTAACCTATGACGAACTGAAGAAATCACAGAGAGCTCTTAACACCAGAGGGCTGTCAGAGCAAGTAAGTCTAACAGCCCTCTAACAGCCCTCTCAAATCACAGAGGGCTGTTAGAGCAAGTAAGAGTCTGTACAGATTCTTACTTGCTCTAACAATGACCAACAGCCGCCATTAATACAGGTCCAGGACGGATTACATGTGGCAAGCCAAAGTCTGATGTTGGAGGACCAGCTCTCACACTAACAACATAACAGCTGAGGCCAATATAACATTTAAATAACCCATTTTAGCAGTAATACTAACATTAAATTTTATAGCTTATTTATAATCATTATTTGTGGTATCGGCTATGTATATAACCCCCCGAAATTGTGTACAGGTAAACACCCCTAGCAGGATAACTTTTAAATACAGTCCACTTTGAATTAATACTAATAAATTAAAGTTCAATAAATCAATAATTCAAAATAAGTAAATTAAAAACAAATAAAATCCTGCTGGGAGAATGCCCCACACACTACACTGACAGTGAAGGGATGCAGGTTGTCAGTGTTATTCAGACAATACACTTCGTCGCCGTTTCATTACTGAAATAGTTGGAGTGAATCTGAACTTTTTACTCGACTCTGTTTGTGTTGAGTGTATTGTTTCTGGCCTTGTGTATTGACCCCTGTGTCCTGGTGTGTGGTGACCTTGTGTATTGACCCCTGTGTCCTGGAGTGTGGTGGCCTTGTGTATTGACCCCTGTGTCCTGGAGTGAGGTGACCTTGTGTATTGACCCCTGTGTCCAGGTGTGTGGTGGCCTTGTGTATTGACCCCTGTGTCCAGGTGTGTGGCGGCCTTGTGTATTGACCCCTGTGTCCAGGTGTGTGGTGGCCTTGTGTATTGACCCCTGTGTCCAGGTGTGTGGTGACCTTGTGGGTTGACCCCTGTGTCCTGGAGTGTGGCGGCCTTGTGTATTGACCCCTGTGTCCTGGTGTGTGGTGACCTTGTGTATTGACCCCTGTGTCCTGGTGTGTGGTGACCTTGTGTATTGACCCCTGTGTCCTGGAGTGTGGTGACCTTGTGTATTGACCCCTGTGTCCTGGTGTGTGGTGACCTTGTGTATTGACCCCTGTGTCCTGGAGTGTGGTGACCTTGTGTATTGACCCCTGTGTCCTGGAGTGAGGTGACCTTGTGTATTGACCCCTGTGTCCTGGAGTGTGGTGACCTTGTGTATTGACCCCTGTGTCCTGGAGTGTGGTGACCTTGTGTATTGACCCCTGTGTCCTGGTGTGTGGTGACCTTGTGTATTGTTCCCTGTGTCCTGGTGTGTGGTGGTCTTGTGTGTTGACCCCTGTGTCCTGGTGTGTGGTGACCTTGTGTGTTGACCCCTGTGTCCTGGTGTGTGGTGACCTTGTGTGTTGACCCCTGTGTCCTGGTGTGTGGTGACCTTGTGTGTTGACCCCTGTGTCCTGGTGTGTGGTGACCTTGTGTGTTGACCCCTGTGTCCTGGTGTGTGGTGACCTTGTGTATTGACCCCTGTGTCCTGGTGTGTGGTGACCTTGTGTATTGTTCCCTGTGTCCTGGTGTGTGGTGGTCTTGTGTGTTGACCCCTGTGTCCTGGTGTGTGGTGACCTTGTGTGTTGACCCCTGTGTCCTGGAGTGTGGTGACCTTGTGTGTTGACCCCTGTGTCCTGGTGTGTGGTGACCTTGTGTGTTGACCCCTGTGTCCTGGAGTGTGGTGGCCTTGTGTGTTGACCCCTGTGTCCTGGTGTGTGGTGACCTTGTGTATTGTTCCCTGTGTCCTGGTGTGTGGTGGTCTTGTGTGTTGACCCCTGTGTCCTGGTGTGTGGTGACCTTGTGTGTTGACCCCTGTGTCCTGGAGTGTGGTGGCCTTGTGTGTTAACCCCTGTGTCCTGGTGTGTGGTGACCTTGTGTGTTGACCCCTGTGTCCTGGAGTGTGGTGGCCTTGTGTATTGACCCCTGTGTCTCACTGGTGCGTTCCTTGCAGCCGCTACCTGTGTGTCTCACTGGTGCGTTCCTTGCTGCTGCTACCTGTGTGTCTCACTGGTGCGTTCCTTGCAGCTATCACCTGTGTGTTGGTTGACGCACAGTTTGGAGTCTTGACGAGTTGTACATGTCGTGAAAAGCCCTCTCTGTTTTGTTTACAATCTCCCTGAGTGTGTGAGAGTGTGACTGGCTCTCCTTCCCCAAGTCCGTGTTCCAATAGAATTCTCTCAATATTCTAAGTTTATTTTAAGGACTTAGGGGAGCAAGCTGTACTTTTACTGCTAATTATATTATTTCCAGTCCTAGTGAATACATTTTTATAAAGTTTAAACACTAGACTGTTGTTTAAAAGAATAATTAGGGTTTAATATATACGTGTGGTTGTGATGACTTCAAGAAAATTCCCATTCACTTTAAAGTTTGGTAATGGGTAACTATTCTATGTTAACTGGTGTGTCAGAGTTCTGACAACAGACACACAGACACATCTAAGAAAGAGACATCTAGATACTTATTAAATTGATTTATATAAAGGATAATAATAATAATTGCCTCATTATTAGGTAAAATGTTCTGTGATCTTGCAATAGCAATTAAAAATAATCCTCTGGAAATGCTGTTTTAATTAGGGTGTTGCATAGTAAGTCTTATTTGGATAGTCTAGCCTTTTTCGATAGCCTAGTCTTAGTTGATAGTTTAGTCTTTGTGGATAGTTTAATCTTTGTGGACAGCCTGGTCTTTGTGGACCGCCTGGTCTTACGTATACAGTTTCACATGGGTCAACTGGTTTATGTGTTTGAGATCACCTATATGTATTCTCCCCATGTGTGTTTATGTGGAGATCCATCGCCTGGCCTTACATATTCCCTACGTGCAGCTATGGGTGTCGACCCACGCGGTTCTTACCCATATCCTCCCATACAATAACGTGAGGAGTTAGTTCCATCTGGCGTCACTTTTCTCTGATCCCACTTGCTCACTTCTACACTGAGCTCACTTCTACACTGAGCTCACTTCTACACTGAGCTCACTTCTACACTAGGCTAACTTCTACACTGAGCTCACTTCTACACTGAGCTCACTTCTACACTAGGCTAACTTCTACACTGAGCTCACTTCTACACTGAGCTCACTTCTACACTAGGCTAACTGCTACACTGAGCTCACTTCTACACTGAGCTCACTTCTACACTAGGCTAACTTCTTCACTGGGCTCACTTCTACACTGAGCTCACTTCTACACTAGGCGAACTTCTTCACTGAGCTCACTTCTACACTAGGCTAACTTCTTCACTGGGCTCACTTCTACTCTGGGCTCACTTCTACACTAGGCTAACTTCTTCACTGGGCTCACTTCTACACTGAGCTCACTTCTACACTAGGCTAACTTCTTCACTGAGCTCACTTCTACACTGAGCTCACTTCTACACTAGGCTAACTTCTTCACTGAGCTCACTTCTAAACTAGGCTAACTTCTTCACTGGGCTCACTTCTACTCTGGGCTCACTTCCCTGAGCTCACTTCTACATTGGGCTCACTTCCCTGAGCTCAATTCTCCACTGGCCTCACTTCCCTGAGCTCACTCCTACACTGGGCTCACTTCTACACTGGGCTCACTTCTACACTGGGCTCTTCTACACTGGGTTCACTTCTAAAGGGGGGATTCGGGGGCTCCTCAGTGGGGGGCACGGGGGCTCCTCAGTGGGGGGGGGGAGCACGGGGGCTCCTTAGTGGGGGGGGGGGCACGGGGGCTCCACAGTCTGGGGGGCACGGGGGCTCCTTAGTGGGGGGAGGGCACGGTGGCTCCTTAGTGGGGGGGCACGGGGGCTCCTCAGTGGGGGGCACGGGGGCTCCTCAGGGGGGGGGGCACGGGGGCTCCTCAGTGGGGGGCACGGGGGCTCCTTAATGGGGGGGGGCACAGGGGCTCCTTAGTGGGGGGGCACAGGGGCTCCTCAGTGGGGGGGCACGGGGGCTCTTCAGTGGGGGGCACGGGGGCTCCTCAGTGGGGGGGGGGGCACGGGGGCTCCTTAGTGGGGGGGCACGGGGCTCCTCAGTGGGGGGCACGGGGGCTCCTCAGTGGGGGACACGGGGCTCCTCAGTGGGGGACACGGGGCTCCTCAGTGGGGGGCACGGGGGCTCCTCAGTGGGGGACACGGGGGCTCCTCAGTGGGGGGCACGGGGGCTCCTCAGTGGGGGGCACGGGGCTCCTCAGTGGGGGACACGGGGGCTCCTCAGTGGGGGGCACGGGGGCTCCTCAGTGGGGGACACGGGGCTCCTCAGTGGGGGGCACGGGGGCTCCTTAGTGGGGGGGGCACGGGGCTCCTTAGTGGGGGGGACACGGGGGGCTCCTCAGTGGGGGGGGGGGCACGGGGGCTCCTTAGTGGGGGGGGGCACGGGGGCTCCTCAGTGGGGGGGGCACGGGGGCTCCTCAGTGGGGGGCACGGGGGCTCCTTAGTGGGGGGGGCACGGGGGCTCCTTAGTGGGGGGCACGGGGGCTCCTCAGTGGGGGGCACGGGGCCTACTCAGTGGGGG